TTGTAAATAAGTGGTGAAGGAATTCATTGGTAACGAAATCTACCCCTGTTATGTTTACCTTGCCCCTGTCTTGCCCTGTTGATCATTATACTGTTGACATTGTTTAGGACCAGGTGTTATAGGCCATAAATTGCTTCCAGTGTTTGTAATGGTGTGTAATTTCTTCTTGAAAAATCTCCTTGAATCTTCATATCGGTCCTTCATACACTTCCTTTTCATCCTTCATCATTTCTTTTTCTCTTTTTCCTGAGGTTTACATCTACTGCCTCTTACGCTGTACACAGAGCGAAACATAATCTAGCAAAGTGCTACATAGTGAAAATAAAGTTTGATAAAGCAGTACACAGAGCGATAAGTAGGTTGATAAGGTTCTACATAGAGTGAATGACGACATTATGATGCAGTACACAGAGTGGAACATCATATAACAAAGCTCTGTACAGAGTGAAACATGACCAAGGTCTACACATACATACATCATCATCTTAAAGCTCTACAGAGAGAGAAACATAACCTGACAAAGCTCTAAACACAGCTCTTCCCTCCCCTACCCACTCCTGTGTTGCTATTCCACCTACTGAATCCTTCACAGCAGAAACCTCTCGTCTCAACACAGTGTTCCTGCCACTACGTGTTAATACACTTCTATCGTCTCTAACACATAGTATACCATTTATACCACATTTTTACCTTACAGACATACTTAATCATCCTGGATTACTTAGAAAGGGGCCTAGTACCCTGGAGATTTGAGAGAGAGGGCGTTTTTTCTTACCTGGGCTAATTCTCTCTAGCAGAAGAGGGGAAAGAGTGAGAGACAGAGAGAGAAGGAGAGATGGCCTTGGAGGAAACTGTCCCTGTGGAAAGCTTACGATGTTGAATTAAAAGATTAAGGGAGGGTGATACTGGAGAGCTGTTAATGTGTGTGTGTGTTTGTGTACTCACCTATTTGTACTCACCTATTTGTGGTTGCAGGGGTCGAGTCCTAGCTCCTGGCCCCGCCTCTTCACCGGTTGCTACTAGACCCTCTCTCTCCCCGCTCCATGAGCTTTATCAAACCTCGTCTTAAAACTGTGTATGGTTCCTGCCTCCACTACGTCATTTTCTAGGCTATTCCACTGCCTTACAACTCTATGACTGAAGAAATACTTCCTACTATCTCTCTGACTCATTTGTGTCTTCAACTTCCAATTGTGGCCTCTTGTTTCTGTGTCCCCTCCCTGGAACATCCTGTCCTTGTCCACCTTGTCTATTCCACGCAGTATTTTATATGTCGTTATCATGTCTCCCCTGACCCTCCTGTCCTCCAGTGTCGTCAGGCCGATTTCCCTTAATCTTTCTTCATAGGACATTCCCCTTAGCTCTGGAACTAACCTTGTTGCAAACCTTTGTACTTTCTCTAGTTTCTGACGTGCTTTATCAAGTGCGGGTTCCAAACAGGTGCTGCATACTCCAGTATGGGCCTGACATACACGGTGTACAGTGTCTTGAATGATTCCTTACTAAGGTGTCGGAATGCTGTTCTCAGGTTTGCCAGGCGCCCATATGCTGCAGCAGTTATCTGATTGATGTGTGCTTCCGGAGACATGCTCGGTGTTATACTCACCCCAAGATCTTTCTCCTTGAGTGAGGTTTGCAGTCTTTGGCCACCTAGCCTATACTCTGTCTGTGGTCTTCTGTGCCCTTCCCCTATCTTCATGACTTTGCATTTGGCAGGATTAAATTCGAGAAGCCATTTGCTGGACCAGGTGTCCAGTCTGTCCAGGTCTCTTTGAAGTCCTGCCTGGTCCTCATCAGATTTAATTCTCCTCATTAACTTCACATCATCTGCAAACAGGGACACTTCTGAGTCTAAACCCTTCCGTCATGTCGTTCACATATACCAAAAATAGCACTGGTCCTAGGACCGACCCCTGTGGGACCCCGCTCGTCACAGGTGCCCACTGTGACACATCATTACGTACCATGACTCGTTCTTGCCTCCCTGTCAGGTATTCTCTGATCCATTGCAGTGCCCTTCCTGTTATATGCGCCTGATGCTCTAGCTTCTGCACTAATCTCTTGTGAGGAACTGTGTCAAAGGCCTTCTTGCAGTCCAAGAAGATGCAATCAACCCACCCCTCTCTCTCTTGTCTTACTTCTGTTATTTTATCATAAAACTCCAGAAGGTTTGTGACACAGGATTTGCCTTCCGTGAATCCGTGCTGGTTGGCATTTATACTCCTGTTCCGTGTGTGTGTGTGTGTGTGTGTGTGTGTGTGTGTGTGTGTGTGTGTGTGTGTGTGTGTGTGTGTGTGTGTGTGTGTGCGTGTGTGTGTGTGTTTATGTATATTTCAACGATACGTGTGGCTCGAGTATCTTTCCTATTCCCTTCCCAACAATTTTCCCTGTTTGCTTTACAGCTTTTACGAGTGTCTTTCGTCGGCTCTTCTCGCGTTGAAAATCTGTGTGGAGTAGCAGCGCTGCGCGGCGCTGATATTACGTATGTTATCAGTAATGG